GGTCTTTAAGGATGTCGCTGTGACCTTCACGGTAGAGGAGTGGGCTTTGCTGAATCCATCCCAAAAGAAGCTCTATAGAGACGTGATGTCAGAGACGTTTCAGAATATGGCTGCTGTAGGTAAGTAAGGTAACGTTCTTCTAATTCATTTAACTTGAGAGCATTGATTATTGCATATCCGTGTAATTTCATTCATTAGACTATGAAAATATTTTGAAGAGTACTTCAGGCATGATCACATTATACCTTGAATGTAAATGAGATCTGTTAATTTGTATGTACTGTAGCAGTTTATCACTTTTGTTTCTGTACCTTAGGATAGCACTATAATAATCAGCAAACTGAGGACGAGTGTAAATGTTGGAAGAGAAGTCTAAGGTAATTTGCACTCGCAATCAGAAGTGATGCTTCTCAAGAGTCCGAGAACATGCGCAAACTGTAAAGCTGTGCAAGAGAAGACAAATGAGGCCAAGTTCAAAATTGATTTAGTTGCATAACTTTCCTAAAATTTACAGTTTGAGTATCTATAATGTGACAATTGAGTATCTAAAGCCTTTTAATATTCTAATATTAGAAGCTCGGAATACTGACATTATGACACAAGTGGCATTTGCTAGTGTATCAGACTAAACTTTGTTCTACATTCAGGGTTATAAAAATGTTCTGTGAAATTACTGTTAGGCATTGGCTGTAGGCTTATATGAAGCATATTTTCTTTTAATATTTTTTATTTTTTGAATAAAATAATAAAAAAACATTAAAAATGATACAAAATTTCACTAAACAAAATAATAGCAATTCAACAAGGTTTGCTCTATTGCATGATGTCATCTTCAAATTAGCTATTTAGGATATCAGACATAAATGTGCAGAATTGGTTAAAAAAATGAAAAAAAGTTATAAGAAAACATAAAGAAAAAAAATTTAAGCAACAGATTTTGTGTTTAGATTTGAACTCAAGTTAAAGGTATATAATTAAGTATCCATGTATTTTCTAAAGCCCACTTCAGTATCAATCAAGTCATGCTACCATTATTTATATATAGTAAGCCCATTCAATATTTGCAAAATTGGTAACATTGTAGACGTATTCAAAATTGAAAGAAATTTTGGTAATAGCTGTTTTCAAGTAATCTTCCATAGCATTCAGTCCGTTCTTCTAAATCTTGGAAGGCATCTTCCTGAACTGTTAGTGGGATTCTCATGGAGTACATCATGGAAGTGTCTATGGAGATTCTTAGAGAAGTACAAGTAGTACTTCGATTTCATCCAGCTGAGCTCCGGGGTGTATTCTGCCAAAAGTTAAAGTAACCATATTAGAATAATAAGGGCAAAGTCATATTTGTAGCAGCACGACTCCTCGTAGCTCTGCTCTGGAAGCACCCTTGATGTGTACACACAGATGAGTGGATTAAGAATAGATGAGACAGTCCAGACATGATGGTACATGCTTGACATCCCAGAACTCAGGAAGTTGAGGCAGGAGAAGCACACTCATGCTCAGTCTGGACAACTTAACAACTGGTGAGACCCTGTCTCAAAATACAAGATAAAAGGTGGGGGATGTAACTCAGTGATAAGGCCTGGCATTAAATCTCCATTTCTGAAAATAATGTGGTACATATTCATAATGGAATTGTATTCTATGGAGAATGAAATAATATCACTTACTCAAGAGATGGATTAATCTTGAGTTCATAGTGTCAAGTGAAAATAAATGAGACACGGGCAGTTCAATGTCACATGTATTGTTGTATGAGAAACTCGTAAGAATTAAGCAGTAAAATGAGAGAAGCTAGTAAAATAAAAAGGGCAGACTTTTCAAGACAGGGAAGAGATTCAGTAGAAAGGAAGGGACAGTTTCATGGACAAAATGCTGTCAGAAATAATTAGCATATCTCAATTCCCCCAAAATGAAAGTGCATATTGGATATTGCAACTGTGAGTTATATGTTACAAAATGAATACTAGTTTTTCAATAAAAGCTTTTTTCAGGCAATCCTCCAGAGTCTACATTAAATTCATGGTCAAATATGGTTAGGTAGCGTTACTCCAGATTGCCTCCGGGTAAATCATTAATAAGAAGACAGTTTTCAATGTGATTGATTTGTTGTTTTTTCTTTTATAGAAGAGAAGATATAGGGGAATGCTGTCAATATAAATTTTGGTATCAACATGGAGAAATGTGTTTTTGGACTCAAGATCCTAAAGTGAAAAGGAAACCACTTGGTATACAGCCAGCTCTAAGCTCTGCTTGTGGTACTCCCCTGGTGGGTCATTCATCACTAAGTGTGCCCATCAGAGCTGTCATTGCCCTCAAATTATATGAGTATCAAGGGCCTAAAAAGCAGCTGTCTAATAGTAATGAACATGGGAAAACCTGCACTGATTTCTGGTCCCTTCAGAAGAACGCAAGAACAAATCCTGCAGAGAAACACTGTGAATATGAGCAGTGTAGAAAATCTAACTCTGATTGTACTGGGGAAGCTCATATTGGAGAGCAGGCCTTTGCATGTAAGCAACATGCTGAAGCCTTTGATACACACAGTGAGAAAAATCACAGGGGCGTATATATGTCTTCATGCATACAAAGAGGAAAAGCTTTTAATTTTTACCACAATGTTCAAACACATGAAAGAGCTTATATGTCAGAAAACCCCTATGTATGTGAGCACTGTGGGAAAGCCTTCACTAATAAGTCTTCCTTTTGTAGACATGAAAGAAGTCACAAAGAAGGGAAAATGTATGTATGTAAGCAATGTGGGAAGACGTTCCTTCGTTATTGTTCCTTATTCAGACATAGAGAAGCTCACATTGGGCAGAAACCCAGTATGTATAAGCAGTGTGGGAAAGCATTCAGTGGTAGTGGTTCTCTTCATAGACATAAAATAAGTCACACTGGAGAGAAATGTCATGTATATAAGCAATGTGGTAAAGCTTTTAACAGACATAGTAGTTGTCAAGCACATGAACGAATTCGCACTGGTGAGAAGCCCTACACATGTAAAAAGTGTGGGAAAGCTTTCCCTCATCATAAAAGTTGTCAAGCACATGAGCAGATTCATGCTGGAGAGAAGCCCTACACATGTAAACAGTGTGGGAAAGCTTTCACTCATCACAGTAGTTATCAAGCACATGAACGAATTCACACTGGTGAGAAGCCCTACACATGTAAACAGTGTGGAAAAGCTTTTGCTAATAGTGGTTCACTTCGTAGACATAAGATAAGTCACACTGGAGAAAAACCTCATGTATGTAAGCAATGTGGTAAAGCTTTTAACAGACATAGTAGTTGTCAAGCCCA